AAATACAAATTATATTACTATTAGACTAAAAACAAAGTTTAAGAATTCTAATAATATCTAATTAAAAATTGCAAGCCTGGCATCATCCGGTTACATCATGTGCGCCCAGATGCGACTTGTTGCACCAACCCACATGTGGGTTGGAAGACTTTGTCAGCTCTATCAAAAACTAAACCAAAATGAGATTGATCCATTCTCAACCTATTCAACAACACTTATCTTAAATAACTTTATAACTTCTGCCTCTTTTTCATTATCTATTGACTTAACTGCACCACTTGTCTCACCATTACACTTGTTTTCTCTTACTTTCGATGATGAACTCTTAACGATAATGGTACTTTTAACAACAGAACTTTTTAGGTTACTTCTCTTCATTGCTGAGTCTATACCGATCTCTTTTTCTCACTCAGCAATTGCGTTACATCTGATTCGCCAAATTTCACAAGAAAGCTACTTTCTACAATTGCTGTATAACTACCAAGTGCCAAGTTAACAATCTTCCTAGGTAACTCTAGATCCAACAACTCTGTCACCACATCGTCAGGTATAAGTCCTCTAATATAGTCTTTTCTTTGTTGAACTTTTTCTCAGTTGTATCGCCACCAATCACTAAACCAAACCTCTTAACAGATATTGTTCGTTTATGAGTACGATTTAACTTCTTCCATGCAAGTAAGCATGCAACCTCCTCTACAATACTCCAGTAATTAATATACCCTGTACACTCTACCAGATAGTCAGAATCTTCCTTTGTACACTTACAACTTACACATATATCATCTAAATATACTTCAGGTTTACGTCTCTTCAACACAGCCATAACTAGTAAACTATCATTAATGCATTTAATTCAGAAGGCTATATTTCTGCTAGCTACACGTGACTTGCACCTAATTCCAGTCATCTTCTTGTTCTGGCACCACAAGGCCTTCCAGCTATGATTTGAGTCTTTCTTATTTTCATACAATCCAATAGCATTCGAGTTATGCCACTTCGCACCAATTTTGAAATTCATCAACGTCTTGACAAGTTTTCTTGTTGTAACCTCTACTGGTGTTTCATTGAGATGAACTGTAAATCTTTTACGATAATTTTTCTCCAAGAGTAATACCGAACACTGAGTTAAGTGGATGCCTTCTTTTGCTAATTGGTCAGCCCTTTCATTCCATTTAACCTTACTGTATGCTTTCACTTTGACCAACTGAAGAACTAAACTCTTTGACCTACATATATCTTTAATCTTTACTACTAGACTGGCATTCTGCTTCTTACTCCACACTCTCACATTTGTAAGTGTCATTGTATCTTCTAGGTCTGTTATATGATTTCAATATATATAATTTTGTATAATGTTTATATATAAATAAAACTTCAGTTATGCTCTCTAACACAAACCTGAACCCAAACTCTAAACTAAAACAAAAAATATGCCATACCATGTGATAGTCATATTACTGCAAAAGTGTCTAGACCCCTGGCAAAGCTAATCAAATTACATTGGCTGGCTCAGCTGGCTTAGCCGCAACTGCCATAGCCAGTTTAAATCACTAAATTTTACCTATTAACTCTAATCTAAATAAACTTAAAGATTTTATTAGTTATTATATATAGTGGTGCAAACGGCTTGGCTCACGGCTTGCATTGACCAAACTGAGCTGATCTTTCAGCTCCAAAGGTCAAAGCCAAGCCATTTGTAAGCTGATTAATCTTAAGCCAAGCCAAGCTGCAAGCCACAACTCTATATAAGCAAACTAGCTAGATGCATCTAATTTGAAGTATTTGTTAAGTAGAATTTCTAATTATTTTTTTAAATAAAACTTAAGTAGTTCTATATAGTGTTAGTTATGACAATTACTGCCCGATTTATATTTTATATTGAACTTCACTCATATTTAACAATTTGTTATTTAAGTCTAATAATATAATTTAAGTATTAAAATACTTGCTATTAAATTTTAGCAGCACAGCCTTTAACTAATATCAAGCCTGATCAATTACTTATTTAGCTGATATTTGACATATAGTTTAGAAATAGCACGCAATTTACCTTTTTTTTTAGCAGAATGTTTGTCATTCACTATTGGACGATAGTTATATAACAAATTAATCGGCTTTAAGGGTCTAGAGCTAAGCTGTTTTAGAGCCAATGTTTTATTAGTAAACTCAGAGCCGAGCCGTTAATTGGCTTGGCTTAGCCATTTGGCTCTTGGCTTGGCTCAAGCCATTTGCATCACTAATCACGTAACCCGAACTTTTTTTGCCATGGCTAGGGTACCCTTTTGTTTCAATATGCGGAAAAGCTTAATAATTTATGAAAATTCAAAAAAAAAAGATGTGCAACACATAATAAAATCCGCAGATTCGGAAAAATTATTGAACCTAGGTGCCGCACAAAAAATGCGCGGCAGATCCTCGACTTTGATTGGCTAACGGCCGAAGATCTTTGAAATTTTGGTCCGCATTACAAAATTGTTTACTAAATTCCGGCCGGAGTTAACTTTTTAATTTTTCATTACAAAAATAGAAATTTATAAAAAATAAGCACGCAATATGGTTGTAAAATCGGCTGTGATTTCATTAGTAAAATTATGAGTAATTCCAGCTTAATTTTTTTTGGCCAATCAAAATCGAGGATCTGCCGCGCATTTTTTGTGCGGCACCTAGGAAAAATTTTACCTGCGGAAAAAATTTTCAAACTCTGCGTACAAGTCTTCTTAATTTTTAAGGCACCATATAAATAAATCACAGGAGAATGATATTATTGGCTCGAACTATCCGGGTATGATCGACACAACCAATCAAAACGAACTTCTGCTATACTTTCGTTAATGGATTAGATTATTTTGATTTTTTTTTTTTTACTAGAAGAAAGAATTCTGGAAGTGCATAAATAAATACTTTCGCTTAATAAAAATATTTTTGATTTTTTTTTATTGAAGGAAACTAAAACGATATTTTTAATTTTTTTTTATTGAAGAAAACTAAAACGATGTTGCGGCTGTGCTAAGATAGTGTGATCTAGTTTATCCAATTAAAGACGGGGTTTCATGCGTCCAATCACAGCTTGGGGGAGAAATTAGGTCGCGACACTAATTATGGTGGGCCTACCTGATAGATTCTATTTAACAAATTTATAATGTCTCGAATTTTTTCGCGTCGAAATCAGAAAAAACCGAAAAAAGTAAATCTGAACACTGTTTACACGAAAGAATTTTTTGATAGTGATGAGGATTCATCTGATGTGGTAGATAACGCAGACGAATCTAATAATAAAAAAAATGAAACACATCCTTCTGAACCAGAATTAGAAAATTTACAAAGAGCTTGGTTAAATGAGAATTTTTCGACAGAGATTCTGCCTTATGATCCAGCCTTTGAAAGGTTAAATGAGATATTAGAAAACCAAGTAAGTATTAAGTGCCCATATTCAGATATGATATGAGGTACATATAATTAATTTCTCTCAGAATGTCAGGGCTGAAAGTTTAACGCTTTCACAAGAAACTAGCCCAATAGGAATGTTATTGTTTATTGATAATGAACGTATAAAATATGTAATGAACAGATATAAGCGAACAAGACTAGCGAAGGTATTTAATTATTTTTTTACATAATGATAAATGTGTGACGCGTCGTTAAGTATTCTATCACAAATTAGATCGAAAAATACGTGTATTCCATTATTGAGAATGCCGAATATATGGCAAGATTATCGCTTCCAGAAAAGGAATTTGCAGAACGGTATATATCTATATTTTTTCTTGTGTTAGGATTTCTTACCATTAATCACTATATTAAATTATATTAAATAGATATAAGCGATTAATTGAAGAGCATGAACACGCGTCGTTTTTACATGTGCTTCCCAAAGAATCATTAGATGTTTTGAAAGAGGCTGAAAATGGTTAACATGACCTTATTAATTTTATTTTTTAAATAAGCGAAAAATAATCAATTATTTAATTTTAGGTACAGAAACGTCTTTTGCAACAGTTGAACGCCCTGATTTGAACCAAGCAGTATTTTGTCGATTTATTAAACATATCGGAAGTTATTCATTTCCATCAACGTAAAAATTTCATCCGCTTCACTTTATGATTTTTAAGTTCGTTATTTTCATCTCACATTTTATTTAAAATCTAGTCCTCAAGATACAGATATGTTAAGCAAAGATGACGCGTATTTGGTTAAATACTCGGATATACGGAGACTTTTAGAAGATAATTCTATCGAATTGATTTAAATTAGTGTCCAGGGGACTGCGGTGGCAGAATCTGCGCAGAATTCTGTTTTTGGCGCAGTTCTGCCTGCTCAAAGCAGAAAAGAAAATCTGCCTGAGCAGAATCCAGAATCTACAGAACTTTTATAATAAATGATTGGTTGACAAAGTCTGCTATTGTACTGTAAAATCGCTTTTTTTTGTTATTAATAAAGTTAAAAATTAAAGTTCAATTAAAAAGAAAATTTGAAAATTGAGCGACGTTTTTTTTTTTTTTTAAAAAAAAAAAAAAGCTTACTGCAAACGATAGGATAGAAGGTTCATATTAGGGATTGGAACCGCTTAAAATTTTCTTAATCGTTTAACTGTTTAATTCAGCCAGCATTAAAATTGACCTGGCCTATGATCAACTTAATTCGGCCCGGCACTATAAAAAACTTACCCGGTAAAACGCTTCCAATCCCTAGTCCATATTCTACACTAGAATATAGACAAGAATTTTATATTGAAGGTGCTTTGTTAATGTGCCGTGCTTGTCACATAACTTTGAACTATAAAAAAAAATCTGTACTAGACAATTATCTTATTTCAATGAGACAAAAAATGCTGCAAATAATTTAACACAAGCATGACAAACTCTAATGTTACTGTTACATGTTTATCTGAAAGAGAACAACTGAACTTTGATCTCATTTAAGCTTTAACAGCTGCTAATATACCTCTTAAAAAATCTAATAAATTAAAAAAAACATTGCAAATTTTTTTTTTTATTTATTTTGAATAGTGATCTCATTGGCCATGTTGGTGTTTGTATTTATTAAAGATTATTGTTTTTGTTACAATAAGAGTACATCAAGCCACATGTGCACTTTTGGTGCCTAATTTAAGTAGTTTGCATCTAAGCTATTTTACTTAAAGTTCTACACTATCTGCCATATCTGCAACCAAAACTATAGAGCTATCTATTTAAACCCTCTAATTGTAACTTCTACATATGGAACTTCTGATAAACCAAACTGTGGTTAGGCACCTAGGCTACTTTACCTCTAAGGTAATATGGTGCCAGAAGCTTTAAATCTCCATAAAAAATAGCTTTACAAAAAATACTACTTCTCTTTTAAAAATTTATAAAATGTAAAACT